TTAGTAGTCACATTCCGTTGGCGTATTTATGGCGCCCTTTAATATAATCAAGAAGACCTTCAGTAATAAATCAGACTAGTGAGGTGTTTTGATAAACTTGCTTTTTAGGTTGTTGCCTAGGGTCCAGAATACACATTTCTTTAATACTTTATGAAGATTCTGATTCACCGGTGAGTTCAGATTGAAGCAAATCTGACTGCACATGCTTGGTTTCAGCTTGAGGCTCAATGGAGGACTGATCGCTCCCTCTATAAGAAATACAGAGAGAGATCAGTCTAAAGTCATAACAGCCTATAATAAAGGCCAAGTACAGTCTTACGGGAAGTAAGTTAAGCCTGTCTCAAAGTTCAAGTTACAGGACAGATACGGTAAATAGCATTTTAGTATCACTTCATAAGATTAATTACAGTTAAAGGCCCTGTATGAACTGTTGTGTTGTTGAATGTTCACTCATTCTAATGTTGAACTATGACAGAAAAACAAAAGTCTGGGATAGTCACGAGCAGCTGTTACAACATCTCATCTCTGATTGGATAAAATTGTTTCTCCCTAGAGGTTTCAAGTTTCATCTGATTCTCATCCATCAAAATGTCTTTCAGTTAAAATGTATAGACAAGACAATATTATTCTACTCTATTTTTCCTCACAAACAAATTCTTTTACAGTATTCAGTATGAGGTAAAAGCCTGAACTAGAAGAAAATAAATCCTTGAATTGGGAATTAAGCTTTAAATCATTTATGTATTTCTTTCTTTTTTTTTATCAATACTTCTGGATATGTTTAATATATAAACTTTAAACAGAACCCAGTTATTTTCCTCAATTTGTTCTGCCTTATTTCCTTTTAAAGGTGCACTGTGTAACTTTTTGGTTTGTTTGGTTGCTTGTCAATGCTCTGCTTGGAATGTTCCACTGTATGACTTTAAACAGCTCTACTTTACATTTATTCAATTACAGGTAGTTTTATAACTCAAAAATCCCTATAAAAACAGACATTCTGACTGTGAGTGGGGTTGTTTCTCCACAAATCTGACCTGTAACTTGGTCTGGTTTGGTGTCCATGAAGATAGAAAGGTTTAATATCATACTGTGAAACATTCCAGACAAAATAATAACATCTCCATGGCGAAAAGCATTTATTTTCCAGTTTTCCTCACATTTAAACTGTGCTAAGTCTTTCCTGTTGTGTTACTTACTTCCTAAACCTGAGCAGCCTGTGAGTGAGAGCTGGTGTGTGTCAGTGTGTTGTCAGTGTGGAGAGGAGCAGTCATGCGTTTGATGGTGACTGGAGTTCTCAGTCTTCACACAGCTCCCCACAGAAGCTCAAATAACATTGGGATTCTCTGCAGATCGCACACAACTCACACATTATCATATTTCACAAGCCCCCTGCCCTCCTCAGGCAGGGTCTGTTTGCACCAGGTAACACACAAGTGCACAGAAGAAACTGAACCAGCACTGAGTCAGAGCTGAACCAAGACTGAATCAGGATTTCAGATTTAAAGGGCCTATATTCCACTATTTTCTGATCTACAGTGTGTTATAATGTTGTTTCCTCATCACAAACATACCTGGAGCTGTGTTTTGTTTCCTTCACACATGTTTGAACACACAAACCCTTCATTTTTAGGCAGAGTTCTTCTCTCATACTTCTCTCTGTTCTACCTTGTGATGTCATGTGGTAATACAGGAAGTGCTCCATTGTGTTTTTAAATGCCACACACCTTCACTAGAATCATTTGGATAATTTTAGCCCTAGAATTGCCAATCTCTACTGAACTAAAGGTAAAAGGAGCTGAAAACTTGAAAACTACCACTATATGACATCACAGGGTGGAACAGAGCATTTTGAGCTTTGGAGATGTAGACAGGCCAATAATGCAGAATTACTCAAACATGTGAATACAACAAAACACAGCTCCAGGTATGTTTTTGAGGAGATAACAACATTATAACATGGCTTAAAGTTCACAAGTCAATTCTATGTAATTTAAGACCTTTAAAGTTTAAACCAGGACTATGTCAGACATATAAACCAAACAATATAGAACTAATATATAACTACATCAAATGTTTTAAATCAGGACACAGTTGGGGCTAAACCTGACTAAACCAGGACTAAACCAGAACTAAACTAAGTCAAGTCTGAACCAAGACTGTACCGGAACTAATGTTTTTGGTCCTGTTTTAATCCTGGCTTAGTTACGGATTTAGTGTCAGTTTAGCCCTAAATCTGATGTTGTGATTAGTCACTCTTAGTCAGAGCTCAACCAGGACTAAGGCCCCGTTCACACTAGTACATATTTGAGACGTTTTCGTTGCGGATGCAGTGTTCGTCCAAACTAATCCGATTGAAAATGGCTCCAGAGACAGAATGATCTGGTGCCACCAGCTCCCACAAATTCATGTGAGTACGGACCTGATCCAGTATTGTGTGGACGTCTGAAAACACGCTGATGTAGGTCTATGCGCCGCAAAGTAATTCACCGCCAAAACGATAAGAGGCGAGAATATATGTCCATTCATATATACGGTCTATGCTTGTGACCTGCAGAGGTATAATCTCTGAAAGGTTTAACATGAACCATCTCCAACACGATGAAAGCACTGAACAAACTCACCATCAGCAGAACACCCCTCTGTCACTCTGTCTGTAAAACGTAAACAAATATGCTCAAAGCTGTGTGGATAAGGAAGGCTTGTGGACACACAAACAATGTGTCTGGACGCAGATTGTTTCTGATACGGTGATTCGTTTCAGTGTAAACATAGTCTAAGTTAGATCTAAACCAAAACTAAACTAAGATTAAGTCAGCTCTAAGCCAAGACTAAACCAGGACTAAACCATATCTCAACCAGGGCTGCATAAGATATAACTAAAGCCTTCATGAAGTCTGAGCTAAACCAGGACTATTCTAACTAAACCAGAACTAAACCAGTTCAAAACCAGAACCCTAACCCCTCTGTATGAATTCATCTTGCCCCATATCAGGACCGGACCCTCCCTTTTCTGTTCCATCTGCGCACAGCTCTGTTTGGTTAATGATATCTTCTGTCCGCTTGTTTACACTGTGAAAATCAGAGGTTACGTAGCTACTCTGACTCCCCGGCCAACCACCTCAGTGCACTGATCCCCCGTACAAAAGCATTACTGTGCTCACATTCATTGAGCAATAATCCGTTGCGTGCGGTGTCGTCATCTTGTTGCACATCGCGTTGACTTTTGGTACATCTTGATTAAAAAGCCACTTGAGATTAAAGATTCTCTGGATATGTCAGTTTGGGAAAAACACTGTGAGAAAAAATGTGAAATGTAAACAACACATTGGGACATCGGAGAATATCACAAAACAGAATAAAAAATAAGTACAATTTGTAGGGATGGTTTATCGGCCTGTGCTGAAGGCTTAAAGTCCTGTATTACGCAAAATGGACTCTTGTGAGCTTTAAGCCGTGTTATAACACTGTTAGCTTCTCAACACATACCTAGAGTTGTGACTCCACGTGAATTCCAGATCTAAAATTATCCAAATTATTCTAGTGAAGATGTATGGAGCTTAAAAACACAGTGGAGCAATTTCTGTATTCCTACATGACATCACAAGAGAGAAGAACTCAACCTGAATATGCAGGATTTGTGTGTTAAAGTCTGGAATTTTGGACATAGGTCCTCATTTCCTAGTGAGCCAGAGTGTTGGAGGCGTGTGGAGACACTTTTTAAAAATATTCCATCCAGTCCTTGCATTTGCAGAGGTCGCTGGTGCTAGGCTAGTGCATGTCAATGGCCATAGTCTTACCCACTTCACAAAGCAAACAAAGCAAATCTTTTATATTGCCAGACTGTCGATGTAAATGTCTGTGTCGATAGAATAATGTTTGAAATAAAACTAACCTTGCATCGCATGAATCATCGCATGCTGCCACTGCCAAGTTTTCTATCAGGAACTCTTACTCGCTGCTGCTGCTCAGACATAAATCCTTCAAATACAAGGTTGGTTTTACTTCTAAAATTATTCTATCGACACAGACATTTACATCGACAGTCTGGTGTAATAATAGATTTGCTTCGGGTGTTTTGTGGAGTGGGTAAGACTGTTTTTAGTGTCAGGCTAACTATGGCCATTGACATGCACTAGCCTAGCACCAGCGACCTCTGCAAATACAAGGACTGGATGAAATATTTAAAAAAGTGTCTCCACACATCTCCAACACTCTGGCTCACTAGGGAATGAGGCCCTATGTCCAAAATTCCAGACTGTCCCTTTAAATGTGAATGAAACAAAACACAACGTCAGGTATGTTTGTGATGAGGAAACAACATTATAATACAGGTCAGAAAATAGCGCAGTTCGAGCTATTTTAGATATACTGTCTATCTCTATTGAGACATAAAAAACACAATTTCATTATGTAAAATGTTTTTGTTATTGTAAATAAACAATCTCTACAATTGTTATCTGGAAAAACAATATTTCATTTGAACATTTACTGCAGATCTGAGGACATAGTTAGGTCATGGTGAAATACTGAAATGAAATCCTGCATGCTACACTTTAAATATGAATTTTCTTATGCTAAATGTGTAACTTGAAATTGTTATAGCTGTCTGTCTACCACACATACTACTCACCAATTTGGAGAAAACTAAATTAGAACATAGATCAAAAACAACAATAATATGGACCCTTTAACCTTATATCATAAATGTAACATAAAATCTATACTTGATCAACTAGTCGCATGAACTTTCTCATTTGTTTGTTTGTTTGTTGTGTCCTTGAGCAAAACATGTCACCCATATTGCCTTAAGTATCTGTGTGCACTGGTGTATGAATGAGTGTTTTTATTAGCCTGAATTTGAGACAACAGGTGGAAATAAGCCCAAAGCTAAAAAATCATGATATTTACACTACCACACACACACAGACTCACCAACTTTGTGATTTTAAAATTTGTCATCAACCTAACTATTGCGTGTATTGTCTGTTCTTTTCTCCTAGACTCTTCTTACTCACCTCTACAGACTCCAAGCCTGCAGGTGTACATGAGAGCTCCCATGGGTGCCGCAGACCTTGCTTGACTGTCTGGGTTTAGGTGCAGTTTTGTTGATCAGTGTCCCGTCTTCTCCTCACCCACCCTGTCTTCAGAGATGTCCCCCGCTCTGCCCCTCTGTCTACGCCTGCTCCTGCTCTGCTCTTGGGCGGGGGTGGTACTTGGCTACCCCTTCAGAACACCCGTGGAGCTGGATGTGACTCCACGCATCACTGTGCCCGTCCAAGGTAAGACTAAAGCACACTACAAAAGAAGAGCTATCGGTGAAATAATAATTGACGTTTTATTTATGGAGCGCTTTTCTAAACACTCAAGAAGACTTCACAAAAAATTTAATTAAACCCTTTTAATTAAAAATACATAAAAAAACAAGGTAATCGGACAGAATATTATAAAAAGACTAGGGTTGGGCAGTATCCACATTTTGATACTGTTAAACCTTTTCAGGATTTTACCGGGGCATACGGTATTACCATATTACCAAAATGTTTTAGTACGACTTTGGTAAGCTTCAAAGCCGCACTGCTATACGGTGTATGCTTATGACCTGCAAACTTATAATCTCTGAAAAGTTTCACATGAACCATCTCCAACGTGATACACACACAGAACAGACTCACCATGTCCTTTAGTCCAACAGAAGCTGATCGCATCAGTGCACAAGGAAACAGCTGTTTTTCCTCAGCGCTTTATAGTTTATGCAAATGACCCATGTGGTTTTAAGTTTTGTTTCTGTAAAACATAAACAAATGTGCGCCTGAAGCCAAAATGCTGCCAAATTGCAGAAGTACTAGTATTTTTTTTGGGGGGGACCAATTCGCTTGCGGCCTGACATGCCATCTTGTCTTGGTCTCCCTTATGAGCATCACGTGACATCGAACGTCATCTCCCCACATGATTAAAAGAAACATTATAGATACTATTAGTTTTAAATCATGATAGCATTCAATTGAAAATACAACCGCAGATTCATTTGTGCTGAGCAAACAAATTTATGTATCAATAAATTACAATATTATATTAGGGCCTTACGTGCTGCAGATTTTTTTAATGACGGTAATGAAACTGATACTGTTGCTACTTTTTGATACCGCGGGATACTGTAATACTGTATTACCGCCCAACCCTAGTCAAGACAAATTTTACTCAAATTCATGGACAAAAAAATCTAGTACCGGCTCTTTAATAGCCATTATTTGTAAAACAAACAAACAAACAAAAAAAACAATAGAGCAATAGAAAGTTTAAGACATGCTTAGTAATCGCTTTCATACATTATTACTCAAGATTTAGTCACACATGGGTGTGAGGCTACTGGGTTAACTGGATTATACGATCTTTAGCGTGACAAATCTAGCTTACTCTATGTTGCTGTTTCCATGGAAACCAGCAGTAAACAACGCCCTACTACACCGCGGAGGACAGGTATCACAGGGACTTAACGAAATCTGACCCAGTGACCAGTAAACCACAATAAAGCAACCAGTGAGTCATAAAAGATGAAAGTGAATAGAACCTCTGTAGAGAATAGAACTTGTACTTTTCTTTTGAGGATCAGGTATGTGTAGCCTGAATATTTTTTTATCCAAAATCTTGACTTTTTTCACTGGTTTATTCCTTTGTGATTTTATTTATTTGTTAGTAAGTAAGTAAATAAAAATTTTAAAAATTTGTCACAAAGACACTTTACAGAGCATTACTTTATTCACTCCATACCCTTTGATGGTAACCTACAATTGTAGCCACAGCTACCCTGGGGCAGATTGACTGAAGTGCAGCTACCATGCCACTTGGCACTATCAGTTCCTCTAACCACCACCATCACTCACGCACACACCACTAGGCAGTGTGGATGAAGTGCCTTGCCTAGGGACACAATGACCGTTTTTGTGACTGATGCCCCCCGTGGCACCTGGAATTCCCAGTGGTTTCCCATCCAAGTACTAACCAGGCCCAGCCTTGCTTAGCTTTTGAGATCTGATGGGATCAGGCTTCGACAAGCCCGTATGGCCATGTTAGGACACCAATTGTGTGTTTTTGAAAGCCAGCTTGTTGAAAATCAGATACTAATCTTTACTTAAACTAGTATCAGAGCTAGATAGTCATTTGAGCAGGAATCTATACAAAAAATTAAAATAAAAATCACATTCACAGGACAGAAATGAACCTTTCCTGAATAGTTTTAGAATGATCTTGAGCTGTATCAAAACAAGCATAAGAGCACATAGACTAGTATACACCCATGGTTCACTATGGAACCTACCTGGACCACTGAGAGTTTACACAAATATAAGACCCCGTGGGAATATAAAAGAAAGTACTATAATTTAATGTTGCAAATCATATTCTATTTTGTTGTCATATTCTGTTTTTACTATCATCGTGGTATCAGAATCAGTATCGTCTATTCCTTAGTATCAAAATCAAGTTCATTATATTCTCATTTTTTATTATTTATATTACTTATTATCTTAAAACCTCTCAGTTTGAAACCTCCTGTTTTGAATCAGACAATATCAGAGGCATATTTCATAAAACAAACTTGTGGACAGCAACCAACCCTGTCCATACTTTTTAAGCTAGCTCGAACTACTGTATGTATGTAGGCTATTTTAGGGCAGCAGTAGTGACTCAGTGGCAAAAATCCCCCACCAGTTTAAAGGTTGCCGGTTGAATTCCATCTCATGTTGGTGGATACTGTTGTTGAGGCCTTGGGCAAGACACTGGCGTTGTTCACATGCACACCAAAAATCATTATCTGGTTTCAGGAGTTACCAGATTTAGTGTTGTCACGATAGAAAAATTTAAAGGAACTGACTCAGGCACTATCACTACTTGATACACATTACGTTACCAAAATAGAGATAAAAGATGGTTTATTTTTAGTAATAGAATATTATTTTCAAGACAAAGTACACAAGATCTTGTACTTGTTCTGATAAACCTCAATATCATACTAAAACTGTTCAGGAAAGCTCACATTTTGTCTTGTCCTGAGAATATAGTTTTTAACAAGCCTAATTAGATATTAGAAATGCAGGTATTAACAAGAAAAAGTATTCAAAAAGGGTAAACTAATGGGAAAGATAAAAATGTAAGAGAAAATGTTAAAGATACGAAGAGTTATTGTAAAAGGAATTGTATTTTTATCTTTCAAATACATTTATTGACTGACACTCTTCATTAGTGTTGTCACAATAATAAAATTTCAAACTTGATTTTGATACTAAGGAATAGATTCGATACTCAGTAGAGATTCTGATACCACAATGAGAATAAAAACACTGTTTCTTTAGACAATAGAATGTGAATTTCAACATTAAATTGTAGTAATTTTTTTTCCAATTCCCAAGTGCCCTTATATATGTAATCCCTCAGTGGTCCAGGTAGATTCCATAGTGGTTCATGTGTCTTATACTTGTTCTGCTACAGCCCAAGATCATTTTAAAACTATTCAGGACAAGTACATTTCTGTCCTGTGAATGTGACTTTTTTAGCGTCAATACCTGCGTAACAATGGTATCAATCTGTACCAATGAGTATCTAGTTTTGATATAGTTTTATCGATTACATGCCACCTGATGTTTTTGATGATCAGATTTCTTTTGCTCATATAAACACACACCCAAAATTTGATTATAGCATTATCTTATTATTCTAGTTATCTCATATTTTTCTGGACATGTTTATGTACCCAGTGTCTGTACGTGTACAGTGTAAGAATGAGTATGTTTGTTAGTGTGAATGCATGACAATAGATATAAACCCCATCGCTTCAATTAGTTTATACACAAATGCTAACTTGACAAAATTTCACACTAAAATAATATAAGTAAGCTTTTTATTATATGCTATAAAAACTCTTCAGCATTAATGGAGGCTTTTAATATGCATATCTCAGCTAATCCGATAATGTAAGGCTTTGTTTACAGCTAATGATGCACATTTGTACAAATAAGAGCTTACATTAGTGCCCCTGTGGACTGCCTATAGGAGACTGTAGGTAGTGGAAGAGCCCCGTAACCATGACAACTGTTGTACTACGCCACAGAGCAGTCGTCAAGTTTTCTCTTTGAACTGTGCACCTCTGTCACAACAGCCAGTACTGCTTATGTTTGTTTATACAGGAATGTGTCTGACTCCAGTCCAGTCCACGCTCGTATTATAGTCTTTAAAGCGGGGGTATTATGCTAAATAATTTCTTCTATGTTGTATTGTTGTTCCCTCATCAAAAAACATGTCTGAAGAGATTTTAGATGTTTGAGTAATTCAGCGATCTCTCCTATGGCCTAGCTATAAGATTCTGTCCAATGCTCCACCCACAAGTCTATGTCACACAGTTCTCCATAAATACTAGTAAATAAAACATGATACAAAACTGTACACAACAATTTGACAGCTGCACCATAACTCTTAATTTAAGCAAAGAGACTTGTAATTCAATATATTGTGATAGTCCTCGATATTATTGTGAGAACTTTGACGATATGATATTATGATATTTTGGTTACTGTTACATCCCTAATATGCAGTATTTGTGTGTTAAATATGTGACAAAACAGAACTCCAGGTATGTTTGTGATGACAAAACAGCACTCTAATATAGATCAGAAAATAGCGCAAGTTCGTAGCAAAGTTGCTCTGTTATTATTATAACCTGCCAAACTAAAAACTCTTATATAAACCAAGAACTACAATTTATTCCAAAACTTGTTCAAATCCATCACTAACACCTCTTAAGGCTCTCCCCTAATTCCTCCCCACTCACATACTTTTTTACCCTCTTGCTATTCGGCCTTGATTCCAGCTTTAATTCTCTAAGCCTGTCTAAACCTTGGCTCCCTCCTTCTGTCCACCAGTCCTCCTACACTCCAAATCACCCTCTCCTCTTCTCCCCTGTTTACCTATTCCACCCTTTTTTTTCTTTATTAACGCTCCCTCGCCCCTCTCCCACCTCCATCGCTCCTCCTCGCCTCATCTTGTCTCATCTCGTCTACACAAACTTCGTACCCGAGCCGTTTAATCTCTTTGTTTCTTAGCAACCCGAAAGTAAAAAAAATTAAATAAAAAGCTATGCGGAGCAGTTTTAAATCGCAAGTTTGTACAGTGAAAGCATCCACCTGACTTTTTTACGGTTTTAGCATGAGCACTGTGGTGTAAACAAAAGAAGCGATCATTTGTGTGCGAAGTAATTATAGCTAATTAATTTGATGGATTTCAGAATGGG